TATGAGATATCCTAGGGTATAAATGATACCAGCGAGAAAGTAAACGAACATTCGGATGGCCTCGGAAGGGACATTGCTCATACATCGAACGGGCAGTGGATACTAACTGGAGATACTATAAGCCAGGATCCAAAGGGCCTGACACGTTGCAATATTCCTGTGAAATTAGTAACATGGAACAACTACAACAATCGCCTAGGCGGTTTTAAAATTCTTGGTTTTGATATTTAGTAATAAATTCTTTTAAACTGCTTTTTATTCAGTTAATCCCCGTCCTCGGCTTATTATTTTTATTGTTATTGATATTAATATTGTCACTGTTACTTTTTGGGCTTTTTTTTTTAACTTATTCGACTGATTACAACAAGACTTGACAGGAAGCAGAAGCAGTGCTAAATTTGGAAGTTTTAAATTCACCAAAAAAACTCTCTCAAGTCTATTTTTTTCCGGAAAGAATCTCCAGGTTTTGTCCGTCTGATGTCAATGCGTGGAATTTTTTCCCTTGTCCTCTAGTTTTCCTCCCTGACCCTTCTTCTCCCTCTTTTTCCCTCCCCGTCGAACTTTCCGGAATCAAACTCCTAGGTGGTATCTGTAAAGTTGTTGTATTTCACTCATAAAATTAGTGGGCGAATGTTTAGAGGAGTGACTGAGGAAACGGATATCAATACTTTACGGCTTAGCTTTGCTTATCTGAGGGACTATGACCTGATTGGACTCACATTTTGAGGTCAAATGGGGCTTAGTTGGCTACATAATGCCGAGCTAAGCCGCAATTTCGTCTTTCAAAACAAAAATGATTCCGTTGCTTCACAGATGCTGTGATGCAGTGTCTTTCGAACGATGCCATTGACGCCATTAGCTTTGAATGATGCCACTGACTTTGTTTCCTGACCCCGCCAGATCTGTTTTCGAGCTTCGTGATGTGCAGTTCGATGATGTTAGAATTGTGGTCAAGGTCAAAGATGAAGCTAGTTAGTTTGTTGATGTGTGCTCCACGTGGGGAAGAAAAGCAGCTGCGTTCTTGCTTCCGTTCAGTTAGTCACCGCTTTTTGTTTCAACAAAAATGCTCTTTAAGCCTTGTGTTGCAATTTAACTATTCCTATTTGTTTAAACATTTTTCGCCGCTTTGTTCTAGCATTTCGCATGACTAATCAAATGTATTGTTTCAAAATTTAAAACATTTCAAAACGACCAAGAATAAGCCATTTCCAGTTTTAATTTATTTCCCCGTTCGTGTTTTTGAAATTAGTAACATGCGCATTCATATCTAGAAATGTGCTGATGATTCACACTCCTATCCGTAAACACTACTCCGAATCTGTATTTGCAGCTAAAGGATGAAACACAGACTTCTTGCTTCTTCTCCCGTGTGCGTATTCAGATGTACCATCCGATATAACATAATTCTTTCATTTCTGGTTCCAGCACTTCAAGTACTCTCTGTTCTACTTCTACGTGAAATGCATGGAGAGCTGTAAGTTATAGTCCGGTCCCTCACTAGCAATTTTTACAACTGCTCTGACCAGCGCTGCATTGCCCAGTGGTCAGCTGCTAGTGATCCTGACGTTCGTTTCACACTCAGCCTCATCAGATCCGTGCTCAGATAACAACGACGCACCAGGCTTGCCGTTATTTTGCACCAAACTTGAAATAATCACGTTGTTAACTCACGAGGTGCTTCACACCTATCTTGTACGCTCACTAGTTGTAAATCATCGCAAATTTTGCATAAATGAATATGAATAATTTCTGTTTGGCAGTCGTTCCTTGAAAATGACCTAGCTTTTCAGTGAGCGATTCCCCGGCAAAAATCCCATATTCCATACGTGAGAACCATACATATTTGGGGCTAAACTTGCAAATTTGTAATTGGACAGGGAACATCCCCTAAAATTTCAGCGTTTCAGCTTTTCCGGTTCCTAAGTTAACAATTTTCCTATCAAAACTTTCACGTGCTCGTATGCAAGGCTCAGAAACACATGAAGGTTCGCACCGCGGTTTGGAGTGATAGGTGGCCGAGGAACCCCCTGGCAAAATTACAGCACCGAAGATTGCCTGATTGCCGAGTTGAAATACCCAGATAGACAAACACACACATACAGACATAAGTACATACACAAAAACCTAGTCGAAAGCACACCGGCTGCCGGTGCAAAGGTGCGTTTTTTGCACAGTTCCCTCGCTAGTTTTTGTTGCTAATAGTAGTGGTTCTTTCGGCAGGTGCTTCCAGCTAAGAGAATTGAAAGTAGCCGCCACGACTGTCAAAAATTATTACAATGACTCCCAATCCGTGCCTGAAAAATTCAGCACTGTAGATGCTTGGTTGTGAAGTTACGTCAAATTTCACGTGTTCGTGCGTAGGTGGCAACGTGAATGTTTTCTTTATTTGCGGTTGCTCACACACAATCCTCTAGCTGCTTCAGTTATGAAGTCACAAAAGTACACGCGTAGAATTTTCACGTGTCCAATGCGTGAGGTGTAGAGGAGCTGAAAAGTTGGGCTTTAGGCTGCAAAATTGCAGCTCTCTACAGCTTACTGGTTAGCTTAAATCTGGAATTGGCATGATGCCAGTCTAGACTTTGACGTGTGCGTAAGTGAGACGTAGGGGTATGGAAGGCTGAATTTAAAATCTTTGAATTAGACGCAGCCAAGGAACATCTCTGTAAAGTTCCAGCCTCCTAGCTTGCGCCGTTTCCGAAAACGCTTTCCCGCTAAAGGACTTTCACGTGCCCGCACGTGAGAACCACGTGGAACCGAGCGTCCATTCTGGGGACAGTAGTCCGCACGTATGTGTAGACTAAGTTACCAAATTTTCAGCCTTGTAGCTTTTATGGATCTCGAGATGAAAACTTGTTACAGACGCACATACAGCACGCCTACACACATACATACATAACCGCAGACACACACACACATTCAACCCCTCGACAATATGCATTTTTGCATTGCACAGATGCAAAAAACACATAAAAATAACAAAAAATACATGTACGGGCAGGATCTCCACGAGAAGCGTTTTCTACTAATGTTACAAAACGCCTTAAGAAGTCCAGTGAAAATGAATGCAAAAGAGGAAGTACTGAGGTGACGGAGTGTGCAGGAACAGTATCCTGGATTAGCTATCCACTCAGAATTATTCGTGCGGTTATGTATATGAACTACACTCAGGTTGTATTAAAATGACCGACACCCAGGGATAACGGTCTTGCCCCTCCACATCTCCTGCCGCTTCGGGGTGACGCACCGTGGAGGGGCAAACTTGTGCGTTCCCGATGATTATTTTTTGGGTGTGCGAAAGCACAATTTTTGACTGCTTGAGATGGGTGTATTTACCGAACTAAGGGACTACCTCATGTGGACAAGCTAAATAACAATTTATTTATTGCTGTATGTGCAAACTAGGACTAGTAGCAAAATTCCAGCACTGTGAAGCTTGCTTGCTTGACGAGTTTAAATACGCAGGCAAATGCATGCATACATACATATATATAAACCTACATTCCATAGGACGCCACAACTATGGTTTTAGCATTTGCATATAGGTAAAAACGCATAATAAGGAATTTTTGCTTCTACGTTAACTGGATGCGTGCTGAGACAGTACGCACCAGGCTTGCTAATGCGATCTTACATTTTTGCACTAAACTTGAAGCAAACAGGTCGTTAACTGTATAAATCGTTGCTGGTTTATACTTGCCTTCTGTGTTCTCTAGCATAAATCATCGTAAATTTTGCATAAGGGAAAATAAACAATTTCCGTTTAAAGGCTGTTCTTTGAAAGCGGCCTAGCTCTTCAGTAAACAGTTTTCCCGCTGAAACTTTCAGTTGTTCGCACGTAAGAACCATGTGGATTTGAAATCCTTAGACTGCATTTCGGTAGGGAACATTCCCCCAAAATTTTAGCTTTTCTGGTTTCGGAGTCAGTAATTCTCAAGCTACTAATTTTCCCGCCAAATGTGCCCGTGCGCAAGTGCCATGCGTATTTGGGAGCTGAATGTGAAATTTTTAAGTTTATAATTTTATAATTTCTTCCAAAATACGCTGTCCTTTATTTGTTAAAAAAGCCTGGTTATCCGTATGGCGTCCCATGTTAGTCATGTGTGCTGGGATTTTTTCAAGGGCAGCTGCTATTCTACTGTGTCAGACCCTTCGATCCTGAGCTGCATATCCCTAATTGGTACTCATCACCCATTCAGTGCATGTGCGCCATCTCATCGGAAACCACTCGATTAGTTCTACCACATACTAACGCACGTCTTCCACCGCTTGCTGGTAAGACAAGTTATCATGCCTTGCGTACAGATTTTGCTTTTTCGCATGGTTGCCTTGATTTTTTAGAAGTGGGTGATAATTTTTTCCGCAGTAAAAAGTCAGTATTTTCTTAGGTATTTTCTTAACTTCAAAGTGATATTCCGGGGAAATAAAATGAGAAACCAGACAATTTTTTTTTGCGAAAGACAATTAATTGAAATGTGCAACAATTCGCTGATGCGTTCGGTAGACAATTTAGCAGAAATCACGATTTTTCCAGGAACAGTCCATCAAAATTCGAAGTATCAGTGATCTCATCTCTCGAAGTTCTGTTAGAAATTTTGTCTTTGTCTTTTTTTGCAAATTTTTTACGACGGTTACGTCACATTTGATCTCTCTCTTTTAATTTCCTGCTTTTTTCAGTTCTGAGCAAAATTTACTGTTGAAGTTATATCACAAAATCGAAAACTCAAAACTCCTTCTATATTTGTCTTCAATGAGAGGCAGAGGTATTCGAGAAATGTCTCAATGATGGTAAAATGCACAGCGACAAACCTTGTCTTCCAAGCCAGTTCATATGAAATTGGAATAATTAAGACGCTTAATTTAGCAATGTCCTTGAAAACGAAGACATTGACAAGAGATGTGCTCTGCCACTCGTTCTTGCTGTCCTTAATTGTTCGTCCAGCGATCTTGAGCAGAAAAAAGAACTCATTTTCTTGACTTCTTTCAAAAACTGTTCTTCCAGGATGTTAGCATTACTGCTAATAAATGCATTATTCAATGCTATTACAAGAACAGTCTATGGCGAAATTGCAACGATGGGTCGTCAACCGCTGGGCATCAATCCAACCCTGTATGATTCGAAGGTGGATCCAATCATGCAGCTCGATGAAATGACTTTTAACGATACCGTCTTCTGTAAGCAGTCAACGGCGGATGATTGCACTGCATACGTCGTCGAGGTACCCCAATCTATCTGAAAATAAAAAAAAAATATCCTTTTCTCTTTATTGATAATTTTGATATTTTAGTCGGCTGTCATTTTTCATTGTCGTTTTTCTCTTCGTTGTTGATTTAGTTGGCAATTTCTCCATTCTTCGCTATTTGAGTTTCTCTCATCCACATAATTCCATATTTGAATTCAAAGGGATCCTTCCACCGCACTGACAGCCTTCTCCATGCTCATTTTTGTTGCTTATAAACCATTCCAGCAATTTTTTAGATATTTGTTTATTATGAATTACTTTTACATACTTTGAGAAGTACAGGAAAATTTTTGAATTTTCGTGCAAAAAAATTAATGGAAAAAATTTTTTTATTAAAGCAAGTTACGAAAAGAAAATGGATAAAAAACCTGATTCATCGCAGTGTGGTCAGTAGGATGACCAGCAGGTGATATAGCACTGGTCAAAGAAGCTGGAAAAATTGCCTAAAGAGATAATTATGGATTATCAGCTGATTTAAGTACTTCAGTAGTTATGAGTAGCGCTTAATAATATTCAATTTACGTTCAATTTGAAATTTTTTGTCAAAATTTTCAAGATTTCTTTTGGTTCCAAATCCCCATGCTTGTTATTAG